CAATAGGCAGTTGTAATACCTTCGGAAAAGGGCAATGTCTGTGGAAAGGGATGCACTGGACTTTGAGAGATCTGGCCAGGCAAGGCGAGCAGCCTGCTTCGAGGGGTTACAGCTAAGCTAAAGGAGTTAGCCAGGCAGAAAGGTGTGCAGGAGGAAGGGCTATGTGCTCAGTAGCTCTCTTGTTGTCAAGAACATTTGGGGGGACCACAGCTCAATATGGCTCAGGCAGAGAACATGAGAGGATGAGGAAGTGGTGAGAGATGAAGCCAGAGAAGTAAGCAGTTCCCTCATCACGAAGGGCCTATGTGAGGAGTTGGCATTTATGGTGCAGACAAGCAGTAGGGGGCTACTCAAGGCTTTAAAACAGGAAAATACATAATCATATGAATGTTTTTGAAAGATAACTCTGATTACAGTCTAAAGAACAGTTTGGGGGCTTCCCTGGTGGCGCAGCAGTTGAGAGTCCGCCTGTCGATGCAGGGGACACGGGTTTGTAAAAAAAAGAACAGTTTGGAGGGTGGACAAGCCTAAAGATGTTTCTAAGAGCCAAATGGGAAGCTGCTTTGGTAATCTGCATCTTAAAGGATGGGGATCTACATTAGAACAGATCCAGTGGACGATTAATAAACATTTGCAAGTTAGGATCAGCAGATGTTGGTGGTTGACTGTGGGATGAGGGAAAAGAAGGTTTCAGGCTTGACCAACAAGATAGGTGCTTGCACCTTTCCCCAGGGTCAAGAACATACTCTTACCACATGAAATCAGGGACATGAAAATGCTTTGTGAACTGTAAAGTACAATATAAATATTAGTTCTCTTGATTGTAATGGGGGCAGAAATGGCTACCCTAAAGAAGTTCTCACCAGCTGGGAATATAGACATGATACCTACTATAATGAAATAATGATATCTACTACTAATACGAATAACTATAACTAACGAAAGTGCCTTTATGTGCCTAGCACTGTTGTAAGAGTTGTACGTATATAATAACTTATTTAATTCTCACAACACCCCATTTTACAGATGAAGAAAGTGAGCCATAGAGAGGTTGCCTAATGTCTCATAGTTAGTAATAGTGCAACTGAGAAACAAACCAACGCTGTCTGGCTCCAAAAGCTGTGCTCTTAACTACAATAGCATATGTCTCTCTCTAAGGCAGACGAAAATTAGTATTACAAGAAAAGTATGTGTAGTCATGAAACAGAGGAAGTTAATATTAATAAAACCCAGAGTGTAGCAGTAGGAAGCAGCATTTTTGCTTCCTAGAAAAGCATTCGTTGTTGAGAGCAGACCTACACTCAATTCTAAGACTCACAGAGTTCTGATCTCCAATTCTCCTACAAAATTGTAATGTGCAATTTTGTCACTAGATGGTGCTCGTGCCACGGTTCTGAATATCTGGCCTCGTTCCTGAGAGGTATTGTCCGCTCTAGTGGTTTGGACAACTAAGAAGTACATCAGTTTTCATAACCAATCAAGTGTTTTGTTACATTCATGCATTTTATTATTAATGTACCAAATTATGATTTTAAAACTTTAGAACGGTTTTATAAATAATCTGGCTATACTCAAATAGAAGTTTTTTCTTTTGTTTCTTCAACTTGCTATGAGTTATCTATGAATTATCTGATCATTTCTCTAGTACCTACTGTCTGATATACAGCATTAGCTTTTACAGCTCAAATTCTTTAAGGGACCCAGTGCTGGGGATATGAAAATTCATCTCTTGCCTCTGAGTGTTCTGCTCTCCTAAACTTCAAAATTTCATGATAATAGTCATTTTGACACCAAGCCCTCTCTTAATGTGTTTTTTCTTTTAACCTGTGTTTAATCATTAGTTTGTACAGTTTTAGTAGCTCCCCACTCGTGCAACAATACATCAGTTTTAGGTACTACATATGTATGAGATTTGCTTGTATTATCTAACTTTTGTTGGACATGTAGACTCCAGAAATCCAGGAGCCATAGATGACCTGTTTAAGTCTAACACTGTCATTTTATACCCAGCTCACCCTGATGTCTTCTGAACAATGTGAACTTCACAGCAGAAATCTGAACAAATAGAAAGACATTTCACCCATCTCCAAAAAATAGCTTGGGAAGGGGCAGTTCTTGTAATAGCTTGCCACCCTGCATTTATCACAACTACTCCTCTCTTAACAAGAGCCCTGAGGTTCTTCCTTTGACTCTCTCTCTCTATACACCCCACCCCAGGAAGCCACTCCCTGCCATTGCTTTAAGAGGCCCCACTGTTGTAGGTACCTCCTAAATCTCTAGCTCTAACCCCCATATTTCAGTCTTCCCACTTGCTGTTTCCACCAGGATATCAACGAATACCTTAAAACTCAACATGTGAGAAGGTGACACGTCTCCTCCAACTCCTCACTTTTTAACTTCTACTCACGACTTCACTACTTTCCCAGATACCCATTTTTAAAACTGAAAATAGTATTTCTTTATGACCCCTTATCCAATTCAATGCCAAGTCCTTGGCAAGACGTTCAGGGTCTCTTCCAGTTGTCTTTTCCTGTTTCTTCCTCTGCCTCACCGATGTCTTCTCATCCGAATGACGGCGATATCCCCCTAACCCATCTTCCTGGCTGTGTCCTCTCTTCCATCCTTCTCTTGTATCCATAGCATTTTATTGGGTTGGCCCAAAAGTTTGTTCAGATTTTTCCATAAGATGTTATGGAAAAACCTGGGACTTCCCTGGTGGCTCAGTGGTTAAGAATCCACCTTCCAATGGAGGGGACACGGGTTCCAACCCCGGTCTGGGAAGATCCCATGTGCCGCGGAGCAACTAAGCCCATGCGCCACAACTGCTGAGCCTGCACTCTAGAGCCTGCGGGCCACAACTACTAAGCCTGCGAGCCACAACTACTGAGCCCGCGAGCCACAACTACTGAAGCCTGTGTGCCTAGAGCCTGTGCTCCACAACAAGAGAAGCCACACAATGAGAAGCCCGCGCAACGCAACCAAGAGTAGGCCCCGCTCGCCACAACTAGAGAAAACCCATGCGACAACAAAGACTCAACGCAGCCAAAAAAAAAAAAAAAAAAAAAACCAGACAAACTTTTTGGCCAACCTAATACTTTCTAAAGCACTTTTCTGTTTGCCTATCTCACTATAAACCTTTACTGGTTCATTTCTTTTACTGAGTTGAGCACCAGCTCCACAACCATTGTCCACAATGTCCATAATGTGGGTGTGGGGGGACCTTTGAGTCTTATCCCCTACAAATGTCTGTCACTGCTCAGCTCTAAACAGCCACCAAGCATCTCCATGTTCAGGACTTTCCCATTTCAATGCCTCGGTTCTTGCATTGTTCTCATTAGTAGCACCTACCATCCGTGCCTTTTAAAGCCTGCCCTTCAAGGTTCATCTCGAATACCACTCATTCAATCAAGCCTTTTCTACTATGTCTAATCTGTAATTATCACATCTCCTTTGCACCCCATTAAGTATCAATTGTTTGTATTTCTCATTCTGTATTTATAATATCTACTGCAGTGTTTTGGACATTTTTCTGTATCCTCTGTTTTAATTTGTGGGGATCATGAATTCTGTATAATTCAATCAACTATGCAGGGTCGTCATAAAACAGGAAACATAATGTTTAAAAGCATAGATTTTTGGGATCAGTCTTAGTTCTTTCATTTATTAGCTGTGTGCTAGTTAAGCAGTTGCTTACCTGCTCTGAGCGTTGATATTATCTATAAAATGGAAATAAGGGTCGTTGCCCCATTTCTTGTTACAAGAATTAAATGAGATTTCATGCAGGGACTGACAGATGGTCATCACTCAAAGAATGCTTACTCTTGTCAGTGTTCTTTTTATAGTCACTTAGTCACTGTACAAATCAGATGCACAGGAAGTTTAATGAAATTGAAGGGGGACTTCTAGCAAAAGACCAAGGTAGAAAGGAAAATATTATATTAAATAATACCCCAAAGTAAAAGCCCATGCCAGAGAAGAGGCCTCCAAGGATGTAGGTGTTATCCAACCCTGGATCCCTAGGCCTCACCTAATGCCTGGTACCGGGCAGGTGTTTAATAACCATTGGTTGCACTCCCCTAGTTAGCGAATAAGGTGCCATATACGTGTGGTGATCGTGAAGACAGAGAAGATGATCAGACAGTAAAGGAAATTCACTGTCCACCACCTTCTGTGCAACTGTTAGGATTTACACTGTGATAGCGAATTGGCCTGATTGTGCGTCTGCAGCTCAGGCCAGCCTGTCTTCTAATGGTTTTAATGGAGACCTTGCTGAATGTGGATTTAAGAAGAGGTATCAAAGCATGTGTCAGAGAGAGAGTGCACTTCTGAAAACACACTTTTGACTATTCCTAAGTACAGATTTATGTAACACTAGGTTCAGCTTAATCAGATCTTTGGGGCAAAATGAGAGACAATGATATAATAGTAGGTTCAGTCCCTACACTACACTCCCTTAAAAGCTTTTCCTTCAGTACTTTAAGAAAAAAGTTGTCTTAAAAACAAAAAGTAATGGGATTCCCAGACAGAAATCTGTGTTTAAATGGCATTAAGGCTGTGGTTCAAATCAACAAAAGCCAGGAAATCCAAAGTTAACCTTTATCCAGACTGTTACGCCAGTTTTTCCAACTCTATGTGTGCCTGTGAGCAGCCCTCCTTTTGAATTTCCTGGCTCTGGCAACCAAACTCCACAAATTGCTCTGAATTACAGTACTCTGGGTCTGCTATTTAATGGGAAAATACCCTGAAGATATATGCTTACTTTCAAGTGTTTTTATGTATAGCCACTGTAAATCCAGGAGCCATGAACCTGGTGGGTTTTTTTTCTTTCAAGTTCCTGAAATCTCCATCTGCACCTAAATCAGTCCTGCCTTATATCCAGGTGGAAGAATTTGTGTAACATTTGTGTTGCCAACACTGATGAAGTTTCATATTACAGCTTATATGACACAGTTATAATTCAAATGCATTTAAAAAATGTTTCTTTTCTCTCTTTTCACCAGACATGGCGATGACTTGATTGTAACGCCTTTTGCCCAGGTATGTATCATGCTGGCCTGCCTCATTCTCGCTCTGTCTCTGGGCGTAGTTTCTAAGTGTAGCCTCTAAACCTGCCCATTCCTCTCCTTTTGTTCCTAACCATTCCTAACAGTGGAAACATTTTACTTATAGGTCCTTGCCAGCTTGCGAAGTGTGAGAAACAACTTCACTGTACTGACAAACCTCCACGGAACACCCAACAAGTAAGCATGCACTTTTTGTGGAGTTATAAATCCTTTCCATAAAGGCGAAACCCTGAACAGCACTAAAAAAAACCCCACAACCCAACACTAATGCCTGGAAATTTGCCCTCCTAGCTAGGTTAGGATACATGATAAAATTTAAAGTAGGATGGATCACCATAGAATTTTAGAACTGGTAAGATGTTAGAAATTAGTCCAGATCTTATTATCTTTGTGCCTTTAACACTTAGTAGACAGGAGTTCAACAGATGAAAAAATGAGATGGGTTTTTTTTTGTACCTTTGTATTTACTGCTTGAAAGTGTGAATACTCATCAGTAAAGGCCGTAAATTCTATTAAAATTCTTTTGGAATAAACTATTAACGAGTTCAGAGAATTCAAACTTAAAATTACACGTACCAAAAGTGCAGGTCCAGGTTGCCTATTTTTTGATAATATATAAACAGGTTCATGTAATTTGATGATAAGAGTGGGATTATCTTCTCTTCTGCCCTTAACGAGCTACGTAAGTTTGGCCATTTCAACTAACAGGGCTGAACATTGGTCTCCTCACCTGTTAAAGAGAGGTTTGAACTTAATAATACTGCCGTAATTTTCTCCTCCGAAATCATTTCAATCTGTGGGTCTTAGTGCTATGCAGTTCACTATCCAGCAATTTAAAACTCATCACAGGGATCAGAAGGTCATAGAATCAATGATCCTGGGATGGTAGGGCCAGAGGAGAACTTTGAGAAGTGACTCAGCCCCTTTGTTTTACAGAAGGAGAAATCAGGCCCTCAGAAATCCAGCAAGTTGCTAACAACCACACCATAGGCTAAAGATGCACCAGGGCCAAATCCTAAATCTCCTGATTTTTCTCAGCTAGTGTTCACTATAGGACACCCTGTCTCTCCAGTCTTTGTGAAATTATTCATTGATCCTCTACTTTGCTCTTATCCAAATTTTTATTGTGTGGAGCTGTTAAAAGCGAGAGTAAACCCTGCTTTGAATGCTAACTTTTCCGTTCACTGTTCTATCCCTTTTCCCGGAGCTTCCTGTGAGAGAGTCCTGCATAGCCCCGTGGAGTTTTCCCATCGTTGGTCTCTCCTCCTCTAAACTGTTCTCCAAACTGCCACCAGAGTCCTCTTTCTCACTTGCTGTTTGACCATGTCACTTTCCAGCTTGAGGCACTTCAGTGGTTCACTCTGATCATTACGATAAAGTTTAAATGCGTGTGCTTGGCCCCAAGGCACCGCGTGATCCAGCTCAAGGTACTTTGATTGATAGTTGATTGGGTTTATATTGGATGCAGTATACAGGAAAGCTAGAGGCTTGCCCAGCCTCATTTGCAGTGGTGCTCCCTGTTTATTGTTAAATAATTCACTCAACAAGTATTTATTTAGTGTACTATTCATCCACACGTACATGTGTGTACTTAACAAATATGTATTGAGCACCACCTTGTAGCAGGCACTGGTGATATAATAGTGACCAAAACAGACAATTCTCTGCCCTTTCAGGGTTTACATTCTGATGGGAAGTGCCAGGGACTACAGAGGTGTACAATCAGACCAGGTCTCTGGCCACGTGGAATCGCATTCTAACAGTTGTGGCCTGGTTGTTCCCTGCATGTCCTAGTCTCCATCCTAATTATGGACTTACTGTTCTCGCTTCCTAAAGTGTCTCTCTCCACCTGCCAGTGATTGCCTCACTGAATCCTGCTTGTCTTTTATAACACTCATTTGTGTTACCTTCACCAGGATGCTTCCCCTGACCCTGCCAAGCCTGGTTGAGCGCCCCCCAGTGGCCCCAGAGCACTCTGCAAATCATGTATGGATCTCTGCCACGACCACTAGACTGTGTGTCCCCATAAGGACACTTGAAATTTACATTTACTTTTCCTTGACTTTCTAAGAATTCGCAGAATGCCTGACACATAGTGTGTGCTCCATAAGTGTTCGTCATGCATATAAATCTCTGAATCACTAATTGTTAGAGAAAGACCACCAAATGTTTTGAAAATTACATTTTCGGAAGTGATCCTTTCCATTTTTCCATCTTTTTTTCTTTACAGGATATGGCCTCTGGGGCCTTATTTATTGGCTTCATAACTCAATTCTACCAACTGAAAATTATGTGACTTGGGCAAGTTATTTCACCTCTCCAGAGCTCAGTTTCCCAATCTATAAAATAGGGTTGTTCTGAGGATGAAATGAATTACTATTTGTAAAGCATTTATAACAGCCTCTAGCACATAGTAGTAGGTGCTCAATAAATGTGAGTTATTATAAGTGATAGTTACGTTTCTCTTGCTGAATCCAGAAACAGTGTAATACTTTGGAGTTGTCACATCCATTATCACAGTTATCATCACCGTAAATGATGTTTATGGCCCACATGTTGCCACCACACTATGAACAAGGAAACAAAGCTCAGGGAGATTAAATGACTAGTGCAAAACAGCTCACTTCTGACGGGATGAGCAGAGCCAGTGTTGAAACATAGTATCCTGGTTCTCTTGCAGTGCTCTTTTGTAGGAAAACTCAGGTTTTTTCCTTCCTCTGTAGGGAAAAACCCAGTTCCTCCCTCCCGGGTTTGTCTTCCCAGTGAGTCTTCTTTACTAGTCACACAAAACACTTCACTTCTGATACATCTGGTCACCAAATACGTGGAGGTTTTCCCCTCACAACAGCGAGAAAATGTCCGACACCAGCTGGGGGTCCCACAGTTTAACTCAATCCTGATGCTATCTGACATAGCATCAGATCCCACAGGTTAAGGGCTCAGTCCCACAAGATTGCCCACCGCCTCCCTCCCCACTCCAGACACCAGTTGTAAGCTCAAGTTATCATCTTTGCTTGTGACCCACCAGCTATAAGATTCCAACGACACCCCCCTAATTTATTTCATTAATTTGTTCGAGCAGCCCACAGAACCCAAGGAAACATTTACTCATGTTTACCAGTTCATTAAAGGATATGAAAAAGGATACAGGTGAACAGCCAGATGAAGAGGGCAGAGTCTGAGAGGGTCCTGAGTGCAGGAGTTTCTTCCCCTTGGAGTTGGGGTGCATCACCCTCCTGGTGTGGATGTGTTTACCAGCCTAGAAGCTCTCTGAACCCTGTATTATTAGGATTTGCTGGAGGCTTCACATAGGCATGAGCAATTATTAACTCCATTTCTAGCCCCTCTCTCTTTTCTGGAGGTTGAGGGGTAGGGCTGAAAATTCTAAGCTTCTAATCATGGCTTGCTGTTTCTGGGGACCAGCCCCCATCCAGGAGAAATCCAGGACCCCACCCAGAGTCACCTCATTAGAACAAAAGATGCCACTAGTGCACTTATTACTTAGGAAACTACAGGGAATTTTAGGAGCTCTGTGTCAGGAAGCAAGGGTAGAGAACAATATATGTACATTCTACTATCTCACATCTTTCCATTTACTATACCTATGCAGTCTTCTGGGTTATGGGACGAAATCTCTGAAGGCTTTGGAACAGCATCATTTAGGAAGAACTCATGGCATAGCTGAAGGTCAGAGAGCCTGAGGCAGAGACATGAGCTAGGAGAGCATTTCAGGAATTAAAATATGAAGAGTAAAACCCTGGACCAAGATGATGGAGGTAGGAGTTGAGGAGGAAGAGATTAGTAAGGATACATTCCAAAGGCTTCTTTAACATAGCAGGGCTCAAGGCCACTACACTGCACAGCTCCGGGGAGAAGGGGTGCCAGTGGTGATGTGTCAGGGTGTTTTCAGTTACTGGTTTGTTGGCATGGGCTCGGAGGTCCTTCCTCTGTTAAAGCATTGGGGAATTAAGCCTAACCCTGCTTATTATAGGCTGTCAGCTGAAGCTACTTTCTCGAGATCAGAGTTTTGCATAGCCTTGGGGGTTTTGAGCCACATAAACCTCCATAGTTGCCATATAGAGAGCTCACCCAGAGCCAATTCTCACACTCTGGCTGAGGACCACCCTCCAAATCATGGCTGTTGGTGTCACCTCTGGTCCAAACCACACTCAGCAAACATAATAGACCAGCAGTAGAATAGTTGCATCTGATGATCATTCCCAAATCCATACCCATGTTTGTACAGAGTTGATCCTCCTACTGAGTTCAAGTACTTCCTTAAAACCAACATGTCCAGCACTAGAGCTTTCACCAAAGGGAGTTGAGATTGCCTTGGTCTAGTTCGGGCTGAGAAGTGAATGATGGAGCAGCCTGGCAGGGGCAGGTTGGAAAACTGAGGGTCCATTTAATGCACTCTATTCTATTCCTAGAGGGTCAATACCCTCAAACAAATAAAGACAACTGAAGACAAGAATATCTGTCAGGAATGGATCCACCATGCTAAGAGCATTCCCCCTCCCACCCCAACCCAGATAATCACTTATCTCAACAACTGAAACTGTAAGGTTCGTGGAACTCAGAAGTTGTTTTCTGGGATATTTGACTTGGGTTCGACTTGGGTTCCAAAGTGCTACTCCTTGCCTTGAATGTAACATTTAAGCAATAATTATGTCCTTGGAATGGTTTTCATGAGACATTTGGATAATGTGTTGTTTTTATATGAAAAGGAACTCCCACATAGAGCTATAATTCTCATAAGTCAAGATTTCCTTTATCTTTTGGCTCTTTGCTCAGCAAAAGCAGTTCATTGTCTGTCTGAGCTTTACCACCCAAAGGGTGAAAATCTCAAAGTTCCTATTGAGGTGATTTCCTTGCACCTCCTTGAAATGTTCTATCGAGGGATGCTTGATTGGGCTTGTATTTCTTGGCTTCAGATTAAAACCTATATATCCTTTGTCCCAGGAATTTTGAAACTATGGCTTTCATTTAGAGTTTTTAATTCAGATAAGCATTCCCTAAAGCATTTACTGACTTTAAAAAGATTGATGGAGAAATCACATGTGAATGAGAGTACCTACATTCATCAGACCGATAACCAGGGAATTGAGCTGGGAGCAAAGAGCTGTCCCCATCATCCAACTGTCACTAACATCACACACATCACCGGTGGCTACCGG